TCTTTCTGCCACCACATATTTGACCCTTTTACCCCATTTACCTCCCCACCACCCCTCCCCTTTTCCTCTGGTAACCACTAGTCTATTTTCCATGTCCTTGAGTCTCAGTTTGTCCTGCTTGTTGCTTTTAGGTTTATATCTCACATATAAGTGATATCACGTGATTTTCAACTTTTTCTGTCTGGCTTATTTCGCTTAGCATGATTATCTCGAGATCCATCCATGTCGTCACAAATGGCAGTATTTCATCTCTTCTTATGACAAATCAGGTAATCTAACCCAAATAGGAGCTACTCCTTAGCCTCTTCACCTCTCCTAGTAATTCGAAGAGGGTTAATTTACTCATTATTTGCCAATTTCACACAAGTGCTAGACAACCTACAGAGAAGAGAGCCAAAGAAGTAGCTTCGAGCACCTAGAAATTAATTATTCTAGTTCGTGAGCCACTGTTTCAACATATGTTATCATTAAGTGTGATTTTCTGCCATTCCCATTGTCGTGAGCTTCTTCCCCGCAGATTAGCCTAGGTGACCTTTATCTATCCTCTTAACACATAGTACTTCCCTTAAAGAGCACTTCTCACACTGTATTGTAATTGCTTGTGTGTCCATCTGTCTTCCCTACCTACTTCAAGTTCTCTGGTGAGAAGGTCTTGCTCTGGAATGGAGCTGGATACAGCATGAAGTCAATGTTATGGAACTCACTGGCTGCATGTGAGTTCCCTGCATTGCCCTTCCCTGGTCTAAGGCAGAGCAGCTTTGTTACCTTTGTGGCATGGAGAGGGGCTAGCATGAGTGCCATGAGAGCAGGGGCCAGGTTTAACTTTGCTGCCCCTGAATACCTGGCATCTAGCATAATGGATGGCTCACGGTAGATGTTTTAAAAAATGTTTTGAAAATGAATGAATTAATCAGAGCATGAAAATCCCAATGAAGTTTCATGGAGAAAAGTTTTTCCTTTTATTTATTCATTTACTCACTCACTCACTGTATTGAATACTTACCCTATAACAGGCACTATGTTTATGTCTAAAGAGGAAGGTAGTGGTTAGATGAAGGGGAAATATCGGGCTTAGTAGACACTATGAAAAGGGGCCCTTAACCTCATGTAGGGCAGGAGGGGACAACGAGTGAGGGCACGCTTATCAAGAAAGTAGGTGACCTGAGGAACTAATGTTTAACTAGATTGTATAAATAAACAAACAAACAAACAAACAAATAAAACAATGGAAACCTAAAACTAAATAAAAGAGTGAAGGGATGGGAATGTGTGGTGAGAATTTTAGGCCAACGGAAGTAGCTTACGGTGCAAAGGCTCAGGGACAAGAGAGAACTCTGTGTATTCAAGGAACCGCAAAAAGTTGAATACCGCTTAGAGCACAGACAGCCAGGTAGGAGTGGCAGGAGATGAGGCCAGAGTGGAAGTGGCCAGATCTCAGTTGTCTGGGGGTCAGGTGGAGAGTGGAGCTTCTTAAGATGAATGGAGAGTGATCAAAGTCCTGTAAGCATAGAATGACATCATCAGATTTATTTCAGGAAGTCACTCCAGCTGGAAAATGGATTGGAGAAGATGAAGGGATAAAAACTGGGTATGAGAGATGAGGGCGGTTTGGTGTTAGGTGGTGGTATTAGGGATGCAGTTGTCATTAAGCATTGAGACAGTAAGGGGTAGAGGTTGGAGAAGTGTCTAGACGGCCCATGTTTTCAAGCTTGGGACAGAAACAACCAAACCGCAGAAGTACAAATAGAATGTCATTTTATTCCACATCAGCAATTACTTTTCCTCTTCAGGGATATGCTGAAGGCTATTAACAGATGTTGGATTGGCATGGGTGTTAGTGCAGAGGCCTAAGAGGATCTGGTTTGAAACCCTCCCCTGTGAAAAGAGTCTGGAAAAGAAAAAGGACTAGAGGCAAGAAATAGCAGTGAACTATCGATGGATTGTGTATTGCACATAAAAATGCAGCTAAAGATAGTCTTCCCCTGGAATGAGCAGTCAGCAAAAGCTTTAATTAGACCAAGTCACTCCCACCCTGTAGTATGTTCCAGAATCTTGGGTGAGGACATTTGTAATTTGCAAAATTATTTTCAGTATTATAATTTTTATCTTAGGAAGGCAAGCAAACAAAAAGAGCCTCTATTGTTTTGTACTGTAAACTAAAGGAAAAAAGTAGACAAAATCATCCTCGCTGTGGGATGCGCAAATGTTCTGTGTACACATGTGTCAGTCACCGACAGAGGCCTGAGGGGAAACTAGAATCTGCCTCGGGGGTAGGGGAGGAGTGGCAGAGTTACTTATGCTTATCCAAGAGGAGACAGGGATCAAATTTGAGAAACAGTGGATTAAAGTCGTATAAATACCAATATTTTATTTTATTATATTTCCTGCATTTGTTGAATTATAACGTAAGCTTCATATTTGACATCTATTACTAGATGTCACCAAGTAGCCACCAAGATCCAAGACCAAGAAGAGACAACCCTTGTCCCCAGCAGTGTATGTTCTAGCACAGAAGGCAGATACAGGAATTATTAATGCCCTAACATGATAAGCACCATAATAGAAGCACTTACAGAGAACACAAGGAGAAGGGAGGATTGCTTTGTAGTTGTTTAATTGTATTTATATACTTATTTATAGTTGACAACATGAATTGACATACATTAGGGAACATGTATAATCCCATATAATATAAATATAAAAAATCCTATAAAATCCATAATCCTCACAACCTCCAAGGAAAGGCATCATCCCCAAGAGAGGACATGACTGAGGTCTGCAAGGGTGAGATATCTTGGCTGAGATACTGTTGTAGCTGCCAGCCCCCAATAGACACACGGACCACCAGAAATCAGTGAGTTATAGGAAACACGCTCTTTATTCAGCCAGCTGGGTCTGCCAGGGGTATGTAGACCCCAAAGTAAGCAGCCCTGAAATGTAGAGGTACAGGGTTTTTAAGCCCTAAACCCCATTCTTTATTCTGTTTGAACACACAGTCTATTTTTCTTCTTTTTATTAACTGTCAACCCACAGGTCGCTTGTGCAAGCGGGGGTACAGAAGCAGAAAGCTTATTGTTAGAATGTTATGTTCCCATGGGTGATAGCCTATGTTCCCATGGGCGATAGCCAAGCAGTAATTTTCCAGCCAGCACAATATAAGTACTAGATGACCAAGATCATCAGCCCCAGATCAAAGAGGTGTCTAAGACTAGCCTCTTCTGTAACATCATACTAAACATGCCTGTCTTTTTTTTAATTAACATACAAATTTAGGTTTCATTTTAGGGACCAAATCTAGTCAACATTTTTAGGAATTGAAGCCTGTAAGGATTTGTTCTTGAGCTCCAAAATATGTTCTCCCAGCAATTCATCTCCTACTTTGCAGGTTCACCTTACAGATTTGCTGTGACTTAAGGCTTCAGAATCAGACAGATGTGGTTTAAATCTGGCTCAAGACTTGCTGGCTATGCCATCTTAGGTGAGCATCAAAACACTTGACCTTAGTTCCCCATGTGACACACTGGGGAAAAAAGATTAAGTAAAGTGATGTAAGGAAAGGCACCTGGCTCTGAGTAGGTGCTCTGACTGTACCTCTAGTACTGCCTTAGTCTGAGCTATCATCTCTCATCTGGATTATTGCAAATATTTTTCTTCATTCATTCTGGACCACTCGAATCGGCCCATTTCTGCTCAGAGAGCAAATGTGATTGCATCGCTACCATTGAAAGATGAAAATCCTCAATATAATTTATAATATTTCTTTCCAAACTGCAAGTCATGAGCCATTAGTGGGTCATATAAACAATTTTGTGGGTCATCATTGACATTTTAAAAAAGTGGAATAAAATAGAAATGTGAGATTGCATTGCCAATAGTAAGCATACGTATTATTACATGGAACTTATTTTCTCATTGTGGATTCTGTCAAAAAACGTTTGAAGGCCTCTGGCCTAAGATACCCTCAATGATATGACTCAGTCTCCTTCTTTAGCCCCATTTCTCCTCCCAGTTCTCTTTCTGCCCACACTGGCCTTCCTTAAATTACTCCAACATGGCATGTTCTCTTCTGATGGGAGACCCCTCAGCACAAGCTGTTTTCCTCTTTGCCCTGTTAATGTCATCCTCTAGGTCTCAGCTCAGACGTCATTTCAGGCAAACTCAGACCATACCCTGAATCCCTACCGGAGTCAGGTTCTCATAGATTCATGTTCAGTGTTTAATTATTCCTTTAATAGTATGTTTCTGTGATTAATGACAAGCTTTCCCACTAGGCTGTTGTCTCCATGACTGCTGGGCTCCTGTCCTTGTTTATAGCTGTGCCCTGCCACCTGACCCAGGCACCTAGGCACTCAGTGGGATGAGTGAATCAACCAAACCTATCAAGCAATAACGTTGGCTGGTCTCCTGGTTTTGGTTTTGGTTTGGTATCTAAGGCTTGCACCAAGTAAAACACAAGGGCTGTACTTGTCTGTCTAGGTTAGGAAATTCCTATAACTGGTTATCTTAACTTGGGTCTCCGGACTTCTGATCTTCTGAATCAGCATCTAAGTTGAGTTCCCGTGCAGGTGGTTGAGCATTTCGTTGGGAGGGGAGATTAATGTTCTTTGGATTTCAGAGGGGACCTCTGCCCATCTGCTAAAAAGAGCCACAGTTCCGTGAGCATCTCACACTGCCCCTTTGCATTCCAGGGGCCCTCTGGGGCGTCCGGCCCAGGGGACCGTCCCTTCTCAGTCCCTCCGATTAGGTCGACCCTGCTTAGATCTTCCACTACTCGGAGCGCGTTCCCGCGGACTGCGGAGACGAGGCGGCGCGGTGGCAGGTGCCCTGCGTCTCCAAGCCCGGCTGCAGCTGGGAGAACATTGCCCACATCCCCAAGCCCCCGCCCCAGCCCTTGCAGCCATCTTC